ACGGGCACATTACACACTTACAGAGTCATTCACACACTCAAGAGTAGGTGTGAATGCACACAAACAGGCATCTGGAAGGAGTTCCCGCAGGCACACGCCTAGAGGGCGCTGCCAGGGCCCAAATGCACACGCGCACCTAGAAGGTGTTCCACAAGCACACACCGGGAGGACGAAGACGCATGCCTAGGGGGCGCTCGTAGGGCCCACGCTCACACGCACGCACACACACCCCTGTCCTGCCTCTCGCCCGCCTCCGCCTCCGCCTCCGCCTTCCAAGGAGGCGCGAGCGGGTGCGGGGCGGACCGGCAGCCGCCGGGCGGGCGGCGATCCAGTGTGTTGCGGGGCCTGTGCGGGGAGCGTGGGGGGGGCTGGCGGCACGGCGGGCATGGAGGCGCTGCTGCTGGGCGCGGGGTTGCTGCTGGGCGCCTACGTGCTTGTCTATTACAACCTGGTGAAGGCCCCGCCCTGCGGCGGCATAGCTAGCCTGCGCGGCCGCACGGCAGTGATCACGGGTAAGTGCTAGAAGGCCCGCGGGCGGCGGGGTGGCGGGGAGGCCGGGCGGCGGGGTCAGCGGCCCACCGGGCTCAGCGCGGCTACCGCCCACCCACCGCAGGCGCCAACAGCGGCATCGGGAAGATGACGGCGCTGGAGCTGGCGCGCCGGGGAGCGCGCGTGGTGCTGGCCTGTCGGAGCCGGGAGCGCGGTGAGGCGGCCGCCTTCGACCTCCGCCAGGTGAGGGGTCGGGGGAGAGGCTGGAGAAGGGGAGAGGGTGAGCGGAAAACAGACACAGTAGGACGCGGAAGGGCGAACAGAGCGGCTTCCTTGACTGGTCGTTATGTGCAGAAAACAGTCGGCTGATGCTCTGGTCAAACAGGGAAGGAGCACCAGACGCAAGCTAGCTAGTATGTTGGCTTTCTGAAAGAACTGATCGCTTTTTGAAGAGGTTTAAGGATCAGTAAAACTTACATCAATGAAAGACAGTAGGGAAGGGAACAGCAGAGGGAACAGCATATGCAAAGGCCCTGAGGCAAGACAGCTGAATTGATTTTTAAAAAACTGAAAGCAAAGGTTTATTGAGGCTGGATGGACCACAAAATATGGAGTAAAGAGGTGAAATAAAGAGGCTGGAAGCTCTGAACCGGGGCTAGATTCTGGAATCCTTTATAGACTCTATTGAGAAACTCGGATTTTATAGGATGAGCAGTGAAGATCCAACGAAGGGTCCTCAGCAGGGTATGGACTGTCAAAATAGCCTTCTGGGAGGAACCCCTCAGTGGCTGTACAGGCCCCAACTAGGGTGGGGGTGGCGGGGTAGGGGCAAGAATGGGTGAGAGGAGACCAAGGAGAAAGAAGTCAGTTGTAAATGTTAGGATAAGCAATAAAGGTCAGAGGGAATGATGATAATAATACCAAGAACTACCTACAGAGTGCTGACTGGGGGCCAGGCACTGTTCTAAGTATTTCACACTTATTAACTCATTGAATCTTCACAACAACTTCATGAGATACGTACTATGTTGTTCCCATTTTACAGCGAGAAAACTCAGCCCCAGAGAGATGAATGTCACACTTGTCTAATGTCACGCTCTAATGAAAGACAAAGTCAGGATTTGCATCCAGAGTCCATATACTTGTCCACTATATTCTAATGCATAAGGGCAGATCTTAGTAAAAGGAGGAGGAGGACTCTCAAAATTTGGTACCTGGGGAGAGGGAAGAGGAGAGATGTGCCTGGTGACAAGCCCAGCCCTTGCTGCCCCACAGGAAAGTGGGAACAATGAGGTCATCTTCATGGCCTTGGACTTGGCCAGTCTGGCCTCTGTGCGGGCCTTTGCCACCGCCTTCCTGAGCTCTGAACCACGGTTGGACATCCTCATCCACAATGCCGGTGAGGGGCAGCAGGCCCTGCAGGGGGGGCGGTGGGTGGGCAACTGTCCCCTCCAGCAAGGTGTATGCCAAGGGCCAGTGGATCCATGGGAAGGACGCCCCCTACCACCCTCTCACAGATGGGGATACTGAGGTCTTCAGGGGTCCCTATGGAGCAGTGGTTCATGTCGAGCCCCTGCCCCAGGGATCAGTTCCTGTGGCCGGACCCACAAGCCGTTTAATCTAATGCTTCGAGTGAACCATATTGGCCCCTTCCTGCTGACTCATCTGCTGCTGCCCCGGCTGAAGACATGCGCCCCAAGTCGCGTGGTGGTGGTATCATCAGCCGCCCACCGGCGAGGGCGCCTCGACTTCACACGCCTGGACCGCCCGGTGGTGGGCTGGCGGCAGGAGCTACGGGCATATGCCGACAGTAAGCTGGCCAACGTGCTGTTTGCCAGGGAGCTCGCCACGCAGCTGGAGGGTACTGGTGTCACCTGCTATGCAGCCCACCCAGGTGAGGCCTGGCTCTCTGACTGTGCTTTGAGTCCCCTCTCCCATCCTGTGCACCCCCCACCTCTCACTGAGCCCCAGACTCTCAGAACAGTACGGAAGCACTGTACGAGGAGAGACCTGTTCCTTGCTGATCTTGGAAGGAGGTTCTCCTTGTCTGAGCTCTTCCTCTCACACCAGTAAGCCTGGATGCTGGCTACTGGATAGGGTATGTAATGAATGAAGCCCAGGTTCTCACCCCAAGGAGCCATCCATATGAATGAACTCACTATAATAGGAGGATAATGATGATGACGGCTAATAACTACTTGTTCATTCGAAAAGCTTTTACTGATTACCAGTTATGTACCAGGCATTAATCTTGGTGCTGGGAAGACAGCAGTCAATAAAACAGGCCCTTTCCTTGTAGAATTTACATTCTAGTTTAAGGGAAGGGGAGATCACTAATAAATACATTCAATGACAAGTGGTGATAAAATGCTATGGGAAAGATAAAGCAGAGTGACAGGGATAGGAAGTGACAGCAGGTGCTGTTTTTCTGTGGCAGTCAAGGAAGGCATAGACAAAAAGGTGACAGGCTTGAAGGAGATGAGAATGAGCCATGTGGTCTTCAGAAGAGAAGAGCATAAAGAACAGAGTGGATAGCACGTGCAAAGGCTCTGAGGCAGAAGTCCCTGGTGTGCTTGAGAAGGAACTAGGGGCCGCATGAGGCTGGAACAGAGTGAGAGGAGGAGAGTGGCAAGAGATGAGGTATAGAGATGGGCTGGGTCATCTAGGGTCTTCTAGCATTTTAGCTTTTAGTCTGAGGGAGTTAATGGATGAATAAGGCCCATCTCTGCCTTATGGAACACATTATAGGATAACCCATATTGCCATACTGCATTTTTTTAAGATTTTATTTTTAATTAATCTCTACAGCCAGCATGGGGCTCAAACTCACAACCCGGAGGTTGAGAGTCATACTCCAACAACTGAGTGAGACTCCAACCATACTGCACTTTAGATAGTCGTTGCCTGAGGCTCACTAGTAATTATAACAGTGACAATAATAATCACAGCTAGCATTTATAAGCCTTTATTACACTCCCCATCTCTAATGTCCAGAACAGTAGCTGGTCTGCCATAGGCATTAGTATACATTTGCTGGTTAAACAAAGGAATAGGACTTGAGCTAGAAGAAAAGAGGTCCCCTCGGGCAGGGGATTCAACATGTGGGAAAACCTGGGAGATGGGGATGTACAGGTGGAGAGGAGGAGCCTTGCTGTTGAAATGCGTGAGGTCACCTTGTGGGGACCCTGAATGCCCACTCAATACTATCCTGGTCTCCCTGGAACTGGACTCTGTTCCCCACTCACTTCTAGCCCTGTTCTTGTTGCTCTTCCCCTGGGCCCTAGCCCACCATCCTCACTACTCCTTCCTTTCTTCCTGTCCACAGGGCCTGTGAACTCGGAGCTTTTCCTGCGCCATGTTCCTGGATGGCTGTGCCCACTTCTGCGCCCACTAGCTTGGCTTGTGCTGAGGGCTCCAAGAGGAGGTGCCCAGACACCCCTGTACTGCGCTCTCCAGGAGGGCATTGAGCCCCTTAGTGGGAGATACTTTGCCAACTGCCGCGTGGAGGAGGTGTCCCCAGCTGCCCGAGATGACCGTGCAGCTCACCGGCTGTGGGAGGCCAGCAAGAGGCTGGCAGGCCTTGGTCCTGGAGAGGAGGCCGAACCTGATGAAGATCCCCAGCCTGAGGACCCAGGGGCCCCATCTTCCCTGAGCAGACCCCACTCTAAGGAGCCCACAGTTTCTGAACCCCACCCTAGCCCTCAGAGTTCACCAGACCTATCTAAGGTCACACACAGAATTCACGTTAAAACTGAACCTGAGCCCTAAATCTCCTAATCCCCAGGCTGGGATGCTTTCCATGACACTTGGTGGCCCTCGAAAACCTTAACTGCATGTCAAGCCCTGCCCTGGGCACTGAGGGGTTTGCAATTTTTACCTCCATGCTTCCTGGCTGGGGCTTCAGATTGTGTCCTGAACAGCTCTTTTCCTGGTGGAAGGAAATTGTGGGTGATGATTTCTTCCTGAGAAAAACAATAATCCCAGATTGAGAGGTGAGGGCTAATGCGCCAGACGTTGCTTCTGAGCAATTTGAATTCCGTACCTCTGTCCCCACTCTGGGTGATGCTGATCGGCTTTGGATGAGGGGGTACAGCGATTGTAATTTGTAATTACAGTGCAACACTGAGAATTACCGAACTGGGCCCTTTGCAAAACCATGTAGCCACGTAGTTACATGCCCCCCATTTGCCGAGGCGAGATTGGGCTGCAGAGGTAAGGGACTTGCCCAAGGTCTCACCGCCGGTGGTGGGGCGGGGGGGGGGGGGGCATTGGGCAGGAGGGGTGTGACTCCGGGGCCCACGGCGGTCGGCTGGGTGCGGGGAGGTGAGGCAGGGCCGTGCCGTCGGGTTCGGGCGGCCCGCAGGAGCAGGGTGCGCTGTCCCGGGGTGCTGCGGGGCTGGACCCCAGGGAAATAAAGCGTGTGGACTGGCGCCCGAAGCCTCGCGCTCGAGGCCGCCGCTGTCGCCCGGCGGCCCCGCCTTCCGCCGCCACACTTCCGGCGGGGCAGCGAGCGCGGAGGGGCGCGGGCGGGCGGCCGCTGGGGGTGGCGGGATAGACAGGGCGCGGCCGGTGGTGCGCTCGGTGCTGTCCAGGTCCCTGCGGTGCCCGGGGGCCCTCCGTCCAGCTGGCGCCATGGGCAATTGCCACACGGTGGGGCCCAACGAGGCGCTGGTGGTTTCAGGTGAGAGAGCTGCGAGGGAGGTGGGGCCGGGGCTCAGGGGCCGGGAGGGTGTTGGAGCGCGCCGGCCGTGCCCGCGGAGGTGGTCGAGGAGGGGGTTCGGGGTGGGTGCGGGGCTGCGGAGCGAGCGGGGACCGGCTAGGCCGGGGAAGGGCGCGGAGGGTGAGGGACGGGGTAGGGGGCGCGGGTGTCGGTCTGAGAACCTTCCAGGAAGGCACCCCCTCCCCATTCTCACGCTTGCGGTGCTCGGCGCCCTCGGGACTCCCCCTGCCACTGCGTGTTTTCTCGTGTTTATTCTCTCCTTTCTCCGCCTCCTCCCCTCTACTCCACCGTGGCCTAGGGGGTCCCGAGCTGAGGCCGGAGAGAGTGAACCCGTGGTTACCGGAACACAGCGGTTTGGCTGGATTCCGGCTCCCAGGCCTTGGGGCGGGTCTCACAGCTTCGGAGGGCAGGTGCCTGCCTGGGGAGGGGCGCTGAGACGGGGATCCCTGTGCTCCCGTTAATTCTGAGCAGGTTGGGGCTTGCTGGGTCTTACACTGCCCGCCCCAGAAATGCGGGTGCGGCCTCTACAGGTTGAGAAATCGGGTTCTATCGCCCCGATTGCAAAATGCTACAGGCTCTAGAATTTCTGGGAGCTTCCGCAGGGCCGTGGGACTGCTGTACTGGGGAGGGGAGATGTGCCTTTGCCTTAAGGCTGCTTAATTTGGTATATTTGGGTATCTTGAGAGATGGTTGAAGCCTTTGAAGCCCCCAGTTTGTGCAGCTCCTGGCTCACCGGTACTGGGGAGGGTGGTGTTTGCTGACAGCTTGAAGGCCTGTAGCTGCGGGAATCCTTCAGGTGATCTCCCCATCGATGCCAGTTTCCAGCCTGTGTGAAGAGTTGTTAGGGCTGGCTGTAGAAGGAGGTTGGACTAGACCAGGGTTTGGGGCTGTGCCTTGGGGGTGGTGTGATCAATGCACTGGGAGGTTTTACCCCAGAACCTGGCCTGTGGCTGTTTGGATCTCAGAATCAGTCTCTCCTCGAGGATAGGAAATCCCCACTCTTCCCGACAAGCACGCTCCTCTTTGGGGGGAGAGCAGATAAAACCAGAGGTGGCCTTGGGATTGGAAGGGAGACCCCTCAGAGAGCACCGAGGCCAGATTTGAACCTGTCTCCCAAGCCCTGATCCTAAAGACAACTTTTAGAACCTATTTGCACCACACTTTTTCTCTCTCGGGGAGTTTTTTTCTGGAAGCTGAGACTCTGGGCTCGAGAGAGCGAGCTTTGAGACTGAGAGGTGAGAGGAGCACCTGACATGGGCCGCTCTGTACCTTCCCCTTGCTGGAAACCTGGTTTTCTGACTAGAGGCCAGAGCATTGCTAGCATCGAAGCTGTTTCAGGGGTGGGGAGAGGAGGCTGAGCTGAGAATTGAGGGTGCTGGAGTCGAGGAAGGATGGGTGAGAAGAGGGAGGGATAGTGCCCAGTATCACAGTACCTGGGTATTTGAGTTGATCCTGCCGAGATCCCTCTCTCTCCCGCACCCAAGTCCTGGAAGAGGGGAGCAGCCACTCCCAGCCCTGCCCCCACATGGTTACTTAAGCTGGTGTCCAAGTCCAGAAGCATCTCGTTCAGCCCAATTTGAGAAGGATGCTGATATATCCCCTGGTCATCTTCTCCACCTGAAAAGGGTGAAAGTTTTTCTGGTTGTCTTACCTCCCTCTGCCCAACTGTAATATAAAACCTCTTTCTCTGTTTCTACTATCAGGCCTAAAAGGGGAGTCCAAACCCCATACACCTTTCTCTTGTCTCTACAATAAATCAGAGGTTCCTAACCTGGGGTCCATGGGGAGAATTTAGAGGTCTGTGCATTTGGATAGGGAGATACGTGAATTTTTATTCTCACTAACCTGAATCGAAAGTTAGCATTTCTTCACTTTATAAATGCCGGCTACAACCCGGGATAGTATTAGGAGATATTTTCCTACCACACCACAGTTTTTGTAGGTACCATCAAAGTCACTCATGCTCATCATGCCTTTGAAGTTAAGCTAGTTATTAAATCTACCACTGGATTTTATTATTTAATGTTTTACTGTATCACATGTATTACCACGTATTACATATCATACATTTGGTTATTTTAATATTTTTATAACTTTCCAGATGTGTTTCCTGTTTATTTTATGAATTTATTTACACTCCAGCATTGCTCAGTGACTAAGGGGGGTTGTGACTCAAAAAAAGCTAAATCCCCTTTGTAGAGTTTGGTCTTCTGGAGTAGTGGGAAGAAGGTAGAAAAGAGGCAGGAAGGGAGGAGAGTGTTCCTGAGAGGGCAGAGGAATGGGCTGGGTCTGGAGGGGCTGAGAGCGGGATGGAGGTTATTGTGGGATGTTTCATGATTTTTTTTTTTTTAAGATTTCCTTTATTTATTTGAGAAAGAGAAAGAGAGCATGAGTGGAAGAGAGGGGCAGAGGCAGAAGCAGACTCCCCACTAAGCAGGGAGCCTGATGCAGGCCTTGATCCCAGGACCCTTCAACCTGGGCCGAAGGCAGACGCTTCATGACTGAGCCACCCAGGCACCCCTGTATTGTGATTCTTCAGCTTGGGCCAAGACAGAACAAAGGAAAGTAAGTTGGGTTAGAAAACGTACGATAAAACCGGGAGAAACTTCCAGGTGTGAAAAGAGTGAGAGCAAGGGAGATCAAGGAAGGGACACCTACATGGTCTCTTTGGGGAGTGGTGCTTCTCAGACTCAGGGTGACCAGGAATCTGGGAGGAAGATGCCTTCAGGGGGAGGAGCCTGCTGGGGGGCAGAGCAGGCTGGAAGGCCCAGCTTCCTGTTGCTCTCCCTGGGAACCGGGCCATGTTGCCCTTGGCCAAGACCCAGCTTAAGTGGTGACAGCCTGCTCCCAAGGTCAAAGACTAAGTTAAAGGTAAAGCGCGGACCCCACCCCCACCCCCCATTACTTACCCTTCTCCCTCCCCACCCCTACCACCTCTACCCCCTACACTGAAGAAGCTCCCTAGCGCTGGCCAGAGGCAGTTAGGGCCTAGCCCTCACCAGGCCAGAGTGAAACAGGCTGTGATGTGTGACCCTCTCAGGTTCTCATATCCTAAGATGGCTTAGGTTTCAGCTTGATCACTTGCCCTTAGAGCCTCCCCACCCCACTCCCAGGGCTGAGAAGCCTGCAGTAGTTTCCCTTGTGCAGCAGCCATGCTGGCTGGTATTTCCATCACAGAGAAACAGAGTTCCTCTTCCCTCCCCTACTCATACTGCGTGCCTGCTCTTTGCTCCCTGAACTTCTGGTAAGGCTCCTTGCGCAAGGTGCAGGCCCTGGAGGCCAAGTGGGCTGGCCGCCGAATGAGCTGGCTCAGGCACCAGCTCTCTGTGCTGACGGGCACTCTGCCCTCGTGGGGTCCCCTTCGGCTCCACCTGTCCAGAACTCCTCTCCAGCTCCTTGTTCTCTCTGTTGTCTTTCTTTCCCTTGTTGGTGTCCCCACCCACTCCGACCTGGACTCCACAGCTACACTGATAGGGTAGCCACTAGCCATTTAAACTTAAATTAATTAAATTTCTAAATTAGAAATTTAGAAATGGAAACTTAGGTGGCTCAGTCGGTTGGGCGTCTGCCTTTGGCTCAGGTCACGATCCCAGGGTCCCAAGATGGGCCCCGTGTTGGGCTTTCTGCTCAGCGGCGAGCCTGCTTCTCCCTCTCTCTCTGCTCCTCCCGCCCCCCACCCATTCATGCTCTCTCTAATAAAGAAATAAAATCTTTAAAAAAAAAAAAAAAAGAAATTTAGTTCTTCAGTTACATTGGCCACATTTCAGGTGTGAAGTAAGCCCCCATGGCCAGTGGCTGCTGTATTACACACTGCAGCTATGCAACATTTCAACCCTCGCAGGAAATCCTCTCAGACAAGATTGCTCTGGAAGTTATTCCCCAACATCAGCCACCATGCCTTGCCTAGGTCCCTGCAGAAGGCTTCTCTCCAATCTCCTAGACCACCCCATCCCCATCTTCCCTTGTGCAAAGTGGTGTTTCTGGAAATGCAAATGTAATTTTGTTGCTCCCCCCACTTAAATCCCTATGTGACCTCCTCATCACACTCTCTGTCTCACACACACACACATACGCAGTTTCTTGGCCTGATACTTGAGACACCCTATGATCTGCTCTCCCTGCTGTGGGTCCTCAGAGACACTGTGACCCAGCTACAGGAAACGACCCCTCACCCTTGCCCATTGGAAGCACACATGCTAAGGCTTTCCCGAAAATCCAAGCTGGTGTATACAGAAATGACGACCTCCACTGGCTTTTTCCTAAATCACATTTCCTTTGAATCATCTACTTCCTGTACATTTTTGGTTTTTGTTTTTGTTTTTTTTTTTTTTTTTTTTTGCGTTGCAAGGAAACTGCCTTCTAGCTTTTACTAAAGTTTCCTTGAACTTGATGAATAATTTTGGCATTTGCAGGAGAGTTCACAACAAGAATTTCAGGAATTGGTTTTTCTCACTTCTACACAGACAGCATGCCGGGCATGTCTACGGCTAGATTCAAGTTGGGGCCCGATTCAACATTCTGTGTAATTGATAGTTTCTTTTTTCGACCTTTCCCCTTTCTCTTCACTTATCCCATGGGTGCCACAGGCTGGCCTTTGTTTGGAGGCCTTGCCTTCCCTCTTCACTCTACTCCCCAGAGGCCCACAGTCAGTGTGCAGCCCTGGGAATAGAGAAACAGCTTTACTGAGATGTGTCTGCTGGGCGTGAGTGAGGATCCCATCTTGGCTCCGAGACTCCTCCCTCCCATCGGCCTCCCAGTGCCCCCCCGCCCCCACCCAGGGCCCCCTGCGTTCCCCCTTGGCCTGCACACGCCTTGATAACATGCAGATCACACAGTATTAGTATTCATGATCTCGGGAGAAGTTCCCACCTCCTTCCAGATGGGAGTCGTATCTTCATCTCTGACTCCCTAGCCCAGAAACCTACATTACGAGTTTGCTGAATGAATGGTTGAATGAAAGATGGAAGCTTTTCCTGTTTACTCCTGCCCACTGACTTCCTCTGTTCCCTGAAAACACTTACATTGGGGACCACTCATTAGATAGCTTTTTATGCAAATCATGTATCTACTGAACTTGAGTTTCAGGCCCTAAGGAGCTCTCTTCCCCTTCTGTGTGACCTCAGCAACCAACAGTGGGAATTGTCAAGGGTCAGGGTCGGTAAAGGGCCCGAGTTGCTGGTGAAGGGACGGGGAGTAGACAGACCCAAGAACTGACTGACCAGCAGTGGTTTGCTTTGCTCTCCAGGGGGCTGTTGTGGTTCTGACTATAAACAGTACGTGTTTGGCGGCTGGGCCTGGGCCTGGTGGTGTATCTCCGACACTCAGAGGTAAGGGCTCAGGGGCCCCCGGGAACCTGGCATCCAGGTGGGCAAGGGAGAGGGAAGGATTTCCAGCCTTCCCCCTGCCCCGCTTCCCCCTGCAGTCAGCTAGAGCATCCACCACTTGCCACATTCCATCCTGGGGGGGTGGGACCTCCTAAGATGCAGGTGAGAAGGGGTGCAGGGGGTTCATCTGGGCACCTTCTCCTTAGTGGGGATGCTTTGTTCCGCTGGAGACATCGGTTGTGTCCCAGAGCATCTGGGGGTCATGCCCAGGCAGAATCCTCATTCCTTAAGTCTAGCTCAGTTATTCACGAATTCTAAATTTTCCTTCCTCTGGAGAGGAGAGGCTGAAAAGACCCACACACGCCCTCACCTGTGCAGGCCCAGACAATGAAGGCAGTGGCTACTTACAGACAGGGGGAGGAGAGCTAAGGAATTGGTGCTGGGCTGGGCAAAACAGATCTGGACCTCCGTGGTTAGTCTGGAAAGACTCACTAAACGAAGGAAGATGTCATTGGGCTCTCACTGGAGCTCCTCCAGGACCCCCAGCAGGCCCAGACTTGGCCCGCCCCCCCGGAAGAGATGAGGCAGGCGAGCCACCTTTCCACCATCACCTTCTTCCTGACTGTGCCCAGATCCTTCCAGGCCAGGACCCAGGCAGCAGGGGCAGCAGAACTGGGAGGGTGGGAGGGGCAGTGGCAGTTCCAGTGGAAATCCCCCTCTGCCCCAGCTCCAGCAGTCAGCAGAGGGAAGCCCCATGGCTACACAGAGGCTGAGGGTGTTGGCTAGGGTCAAGAGCAGGAGGTCAACTGTTTAACTTCACTGATTTCCCAGTAGCCCTCTCCTCACTTTGCTCCACCTGAATTGAGGGATCGTAGGGGACTGTTAGGGCCTGAGGCTGAAAGTGTCCGAGAATAACCGCGACTGGTCACAACTTCTCTCAGGAGTGGGCCAGCTGGCCTGTGGGAAGCCATGGGCTGCCCTCTCCAGAGGCACTGTACCAGGATGACAGTGTCCTGTCCAAAGACCTTGCTGCACACCCGGCCCTGGAGAGTTCGCAGCTCACCCAGACACCTGTCCCTCGCGACCATCCACCACTAGGGTCACACCCCTGCGGCCCTTGCTCAGTGTTCTTGGCACCCCCCCCCTCCCCTGCTGCTTATTCCAGGGAGCAGAGCCCCTGAGACAGGGGGCCAGGCTTCTCTGACAATAAGTCTGGAGGTAAGGAGAAGAGGGCTTCGTGCCTAGTCTTAGGAAACGGATCTCCCCCACCCAGGCTTAGCGTTCTCCCTCTGGTCCCACTTGCTGGGGAGTCTGAGCCCTTGGCCCCGCCCCTTCTCGGACTGTCTTTCTGAGGGCAGCCCCTTCCCAGACCCCTGGCCTATTTGAAGGACATCTCTACAAGCTGGGGCCTCAATATTCTGAGGCTGGCAGGAGCCTCTCAGGTCAGAGTAGGGGCTTCTAACCCAGCCTGGATTCTAAGCCTCCCATCCCACAGCCACCCTTCACGTCCCCCACCTCTGTTGTCAGCCATCCGTCTCCAGGCTCCATGAAGTCGCTCCTACTGCACTCTGCTGCCAAGTCCTATAGGATCCTGAGGCCCTCCTGTGGCAGCTCCCTCTCCCTCACCTGAGTGACTCCTCCCCCTCTGGCGTCTGAGCTGCAGCCTCCTTCCTTCCCTTGTTCCTCCTCTCCTTCCCTCCCTCTCTCCTCCTCCCCTGGAAGAGAGCTTGGTGCGTTCCTGTCTGAGCCGGGTCTAGAGTCCTCTCAGGCCCAGGAGTGCTAGGATTAGGGGCTTGAATGAAGGCAGCCTTTGCACACCTGCATGGCCGAGGGCCCCCAGGGCTGGCACTGTGACCTGTGCCAGCAGGGCTCCACGGGGCCTACTGCTCCCATCCCCCGGCCCACCTGCTTCTGCTCCTTGGGACTCAGCCACTGTCCTCCTTTCCTCTGATCTTAGGAAACCTCCCACGCTGCCCACAGCCTAGCCCAGCCCGCTACCCAGCACACATACTCACACACACAGGCTGTGCTAGGGAGGCCCAGCGAGGGTGGGCCGAGCAGCTTCGAGGCACCTTGCTTTCTTTGCCATAACCTCTTCTCTACCTGGGCCCAACTTTGGAAATTCCAAAGTGAATTACTCCATCCCCTCCCTGTTGTCCCTGTGAATATTCTGGCAGGGACACACTTCCTCCCCCAGCCTTCCCTGACACCTATCCCCCCAAATCAGAAAATCCCAGGTTCTCCCTAGGCTTTTCTGGCCCAAAATTCCCTTCTTAGTGACAGGGAGCGCAGACCAAAGACTCGGTATTTGCCCTGGCCTGTGAATCCCCACAGTGGCCTCTCCTGCCCAGTTTCTGGACACAGAGGTTTGCCTGTGTTTGGAAGGTAGAAGTGAGGCCAAGTCTCCCAGACTGTGCCAGGACCGTCCTGAGAAAGTGAGGCGGTGGACAACCTTGGTACCCTGTGCATAGGCCTCCCCACCTCGGGGAGGACCAGGGTGTCAGCAGGCTTTACCCCCAGCCCAGCAACTCCTCCTTAGACGGGTATGGGGGCTAGGGAAGGCATCCAGGCCAGCAAGGGGGTTTCCTCTGTCCCCCTACAGTCCTAGACTGAGCTGGCAAGAGAGGGCTCAAATACTGAGAGCAACCTCCCCCCCGCCCCCAGGCATCAGGCATCATTGCTTGTCTGGTAACCACTGTGTGTGTTTGCTGTGTCCCCTCCTATCCCTCCTGTCCCTACCTCTCCCTCCCCCTGGCCGCTCCTCAGACTGTCTCTGGAGGTTATGACCATCCTGTGTCGCTGTGAGAATATTGAGACGTCGGAGGGGGTCCCGCTATTCGTAACAGGGGTTGCACAGGTAATAACCCACCTGCTTCCTCCTCTGTGTCTAACCTTTTCTCTTCCTGCCCTGCGGGGCCCGGCAGGCAAGACCCAGATGGACTCCCCTCCTGAGAGTGTGCCTCCCTCCCCTCTGCTCCCTCCTGCACTGCTCTGGGTGCCAGGATAGACCCCTGTAGATCCCCAGCTCCCTTGCCCTCACCTACTGGGGCTGCTAGTGGGGAAAGAGCAAGGGAGTCTGGAAGCTCTGCCCAAGTCTGCCAGGGGGGTAGTTTCCTTGGATGCCAAGGGGTAAGTTGAGGCAGGAGACACAGGCCCCTATGTGCCAGAGTGAGGCTGTCGGGGTAGAGAGGTTTCAGTCCAACCACTCCAGGCGCCACGGAGCCCTTGCTAGCCAGCCCCGACCTGTCCTAGCCCTCCTCCACGCAGGGCCAGAAGATGGGTTTCCGGAAGAGTTCTGTTCTCCCACTTCCTTGGCCTCCTCCGATCTCCCTGACAGGTCTTAGCAAAACCAGTCTTGGCTCTTCCCTGCCCCTCGTTTTTGTGCAGAAACCTCTGAGCAAATCTCTCGTCACTTGTGTTAATTTCCTTACATGTGAGATAGGGGAATCCTGTCCTCTGTGCTTTGTAGGGAGTTGGGAAAGGCAAGTAAAGCAATATGAGGGCCCTTCGGGATTTTTGGAAAAGAAGTGCTGCAGAGGGGCACCTGGGGGGCTCAGTCGGTTGATCGTCTGACTCTTGGTCTCAGCTCAGGTCTTGATCTCAGGGTCATGAGTTCAAGCCCCGGGTTGAACTCCATGCCTAGCATGGAGCCTACTAAAAAAAAAAAAAAAAGAAGCAGCAGCAGAAGAGGGAGTGCTAGAGAAACCCAAGCTTTATCATGGATCCAATCTCACTTAGAAAAGCAAGTGACCGGATGTCTCACTCTCCATTGCTGTGCGGCTGGCCATAGCCAGGGAAACCCTTTCCTGACCCGAGGTGTTTGCCTCCCAGTGCTTTCCTTGTGCTGTGCCAACACTCACCTTCACCGCTTCACTCGTCAGCTCTCTGTTGAGCACTGTGAATGCAGCAGTGAGCGTCAGAAAGCCCCTGTCCCCACTCAGAGCCTACACGCTGGGTCCCCAGACTGGAAGAGCCCTAACCATCCTCTTACCCATCCCCTTCCCTTGCGTGAAATCGCCCTTCAGGCTTCTCAGGCAAAACCCTACACCACCCCTCCCCTGCCTTGCCTGTCCTGCTGGCTCTCTCCAGGTGGAGGACTGTCCCCACCTCACGCATTGCTTGTAGCCTCCGGCAGTTGGACCTCAGCACAGAGGCCTGAGAAGCCCAGAGCACCTTGTGTGGAGTGGGCAGGGTCCCCGCTTCCCTCAAAAAAGTGGCTCCGCTCCCCCTCCAACCCACTACCTACTTGGAACAGCTGCAAGTGCCCACCTCCCCAAGTCTCCAGAGGGATTGGAAAGTCCCTTTCAAGCTGGGTGGTAGTGGTCCCTTGAGATGGTCTGGGCCAGGGAGCTCTCGTGTGACCTCTGCCCTCACTCCCCATTTGAGCCACGAGGGACCAGCTCCGGAGGGTAGGCTTCAAGGCAAACCCGCCTCCAGCTGAAGGGACCAGGCAGGACTTCCCTGGCAAGGGGCAGACGCAGGATCACCTCCATCGTGGTCCAGCAGCGGGCAGACTTCGAGCAAGCCAGGCTAGTAGGCAGAGCTTTCCAGGGCATCTCAGGGTACCAAGCAGACCCAGGATCAGACAAAGGCCTCTGAGGGATGTTCCCATGACGCCCGCAGACGACCAACACGGCACAGCCGGGGGTACCAGGACTTCCGGAGCATTCCCAGGCCATCCGCACACAGCTACCCCTGCAACCCCTCAACCGGCCCAGGCCACCCCCACCCACTTCTCAGCTTCCTTCCCCCACGCCGCCAGCCAGGCTGCCCTGAGCAGGGGACATATGTGCCGTGGGTAGCACGCTGCACCGGTGCTGCTCTGCCTCCTCCCGCATCTCCTCACACACCCCTCCCCACAAGCCCTCAAAGCGTCCCCCCCATCCCTCTGTAGCAGGACCCCGGCCCATCCCAGCTGGAGCAGTGAGGTGCTGGACTCTCCCCACACCCCAGGCCCGGGGCCCCCAGACCCATGCCCCTGTTTTGCATTTCTTGGCAGGATTTCCCTAGAGATTATGACGTTGCAGCCCCGCTGCGAGGACGTAGAGACGGCCGAGGGGGTAGCTTTAACTGTGACGGGTGTCGCCCAGGTATAGTAACTCAGCAGCCCTGCGCATGTCCGTTGAGCTGCCTCGTCCCTCTGCTGGGTGTGGGGGGAGGAGGAGAGGACAGCAGCCAGGGGCAGTCTCTCTCCAGTGCCCCTGCCCCTACCGCCCAACCAAGAGAGGGTCGTCGCCACTGGAACGTGCTCACTCGGCCCCTTGGCCACTCAGCAGGACTAACAGACACCCCTTTTCTCCTCAGCGGGGCCCGCAAGGGACAGAACCAGTGCTGAGGGCTCCTGTCTCACTAACCCCCCGATTCTTTGCAGGTGTTGGAAGTGCCACGTCCCAGAATCCAGGCCTTCCCTGTCCCTGGGTTGGGGGCTAAAGGGGAGGGGACCAGAGGACAAGGCCACATGAGGCAGAGGAACTCTCTGGGAGGTTACTTAGTATTCCCAGCTCAGGCCCTGGGCGAGGGGCTTCCTGCTCTAGCCCAGTTCTCAACTTCACAGAGCAGCAAGCTGCAACCATGTTAGAGGCCTCTGGTAAGGGGGTGGTTGCCTTAGTACCTGGGGAAGGAAAGGCAGGAAGATACCCACCCTCAGTGGCATCCCCCCAGACCTGTCTCTTGCCCTGTCCAGGCTCTCTTCCTCAGCCTATCTGTCTGTGTCCCTACTACTCATTCTCCTTTTCGCCCTCTCTGACCCTCAGCCTGCAGGTGTCCCACCTGTGGGGAGCCTGCATGGGAGGAACTGGCTAATGAGGGAAGAGTGAATGGGCTGAGGGGTGGGGAGATGAGCCCCAGATGCCTAGCAGACAGGCTGTGTCAGGGCCTGAGGCTGCCTGTGAACATCAGGTTTGTCAGTGTAAGAATTCCTGGTGTGCTATCCCGACTAGAGGCCTCGGTCAGTCTCTACCACCTCCTGGCCCCTGGGCCTCCAGGTCTGAAAAAGGAGGGGGGAGGGGCACAGCTACCATCCTCCACACCTTTGGGTCTGGGGCCTCTGCCTGCCCCACTCCAGCCTGGTTCAGGCACCTCTGTGACCACTGGCAGGTGAAGATCATGACGGAGAAGGAGCTGCTGGCGGTGGCCTGTGAGCAGTTTCTGGGCAAGAATGTGCAGGACATCAAGAACGTCGTCCTGCAGACCCTGGAGGGGCACCTGCGCTCCATCCTCGGTAAGGCCCCGGCCCGCCCAGGGACCCTTCTGCTGCCTTCAAGAACCTCGCAGGATCTCCAAGGCCGGGGCAGGGAGGGGTGCAGGGCAGGGCAAGGGAATCTGTCAGTCCCACCAAGACTTTGTTTTCAAAACTTTAGGTGGCCCAAGGGAAGGGGAGGGCGCTGGGATGGGGGGGACGAGGGCTGCCAGTCTGGTCAGGCACCTGGTGTTGCTTGGGACACCTCTGCTCATCCAGCCTGGGCTCTCAGAAGGAGGCTCAGTGTTAAATGCTGTGAAGAAGAACCCTGAGGAAGGCCCAGCTCAGACTACAATGTGTGCACGCACTCAGACCACTGCTTGCATGCTGCCTCCCTTGCCCAGTGGGCTGGGCCCCCAGGAAGCCAGCCCACGATGCCTCTTTCCCCAGGGACCCTGACCGTGGAGCAGATTTATCAGGACCGAGACCAGTTTGCCAAGCTGGTGCGGGAGGTGGCGGCCCCTGACGTCGGCCGCATGGGCATCGAGATCCTCAGCTTCACCATCAAGGTGATGGGTGCAGCCCCCCTTTGGGTGTTTGGCCCCTTTGTGCCTGTGACTGTTCCCAAGGATGACTCCCCCTTCCCTCCCAGGACGTGTATGACAAAGTGGACTATCTGAGCTCTTTGGGCAAGACGCAGACCGCTGTGGTACAGAGAGATGCAGACATCGGGGTGGCCGAGGCCGAGCGGGACGCAGGCATCCGGGTACACGGTCTTTCCTTCCCATCCCCAGGGACAGGGATCTCAGGGCTGATGGGGCCTTGCCGGCACGGGGGACCCTCAGCACCTGCCCCTGCGGTTGCCAGGAAGCGGAGTGCAAGAAGGAGATGCTGGATGTGAAGTTCATGGCAGACACCAAGATTGCCGACTCCAAGCGAGCCTTCGAGCTGCAGAAGTCAGCTTTTAGTGAGGAGGTCAACATCAAGGTGAGGCGCCATCAGGCATCCCAGGTCGGGGCTCAGGGCTCAGGACCTGGCAGCCGGCCTCTGACAGCCCATCCTCCCACCGCAGACGGCCGAGGCCCAGCTGGCCTATGAGCTGCAGGGCGCCCGGGAGCAGCAGAAGATCCGGCAGGAAGAGATTGAGATCGAGGTTGTACAGCGCAAGAAGCAGATTGCAGTGGAGGCGCAGGAGATCCTTCGCACAGACAAGGAGCTGATTGCCACGGTGCGCCGCCCTGCTGAGGCTGAGGCCCACCGCATACAGCAGATCGCCGAGGGTGAAAAGTGAGCACCCTGGCCGCAGCCCGGTGGGCACTAGTCAGGCTCCTTGGTCCACGCACCCCGCCTGCTTCCCAGCCCCAGCTTGGAAGCCACCTCTCCCGGAGCCTCCTGACTGTGAAGTGGAGGTGACCTGCCTCCCCCATGGGATTGGCACTGGGAGGGCCGGAGGGGATAATGGAGGTTTGAGGGCCCGCTATGGGGTTTGGCTCAGCGGGCATCCTGGCTAGTACCCCCTCCCATTTGCATCTAAGCAGCCAGTGGCCTCCCCCTGGCCAGAGCCAGAAAGCTGGGGCACCTCCTTTCCTGGGTCCCCACCCGCCGACACCCATCAAAGCAGAGCGCTTGAGGGTTTGCCGGCGCCCAGGCAAGGTCTGAGGGGCCCCTGGCTCTTGCCACTGATCCTGCCTGGTGTGAACTCCTGCAGAGTGAAGCAGGTCCTCCTGGCGCAGGCAGAGGCTGAGAAGATCCGCAAGCTCGGGGAGGCGGAGGCAGCGGTCATTGAGGCAATGGGCACAGCAGAGGCTGAGCGGATGAAGCTCAAGGCCGAGGCCTACCAGAAATACGGGGACGCTGCCAAGATGGCGCTGGTGCTGGAGGCCCTGCCGCAGGTGAGGCCCCGCCCCTGGGGTGGGTCTGGCGGGCCTCTTCCAGAGCACAGCCACAGGCTGGCTAGAAGCATTCAACCCAGAGGGGCCCGGCAGCAAGGCAGGACCCCTACAACATGCATGGGCTCACCTGACCCCCTGGGTCTCTGACTGTGGCTTGCAAATAAGAGCCCCAAGCTGCACTGGGATGGAGGGAGGCAGAAGGAGGAGGGAGAGATAGCGGATGGGGCGGGTGGACAGAGTCCGCACCAGCCAAGCTCTCCTCCCACCCCCCCACCTCCTAGATTGCTGCTAAAATCGCCGCCCCCCTGACCAAAGTTGATGAGATTGTGGTCCTCAGCGGGGACAACAGCAAGGTGACATCAGAAGTCAACCGGCTGCTGGCCGAGCTGCCAGCCTCCGTGCACGCCCTCACAGGTGTGGACCTGTCCAAGGTGAGTGCCTGGCTGGTGGCAGGAGGAGCCATCACCGGCCCCAGAGCCCCGGCCTCACAGCATCTCCCATCCTGGCAGATACCCCTGATCAAGAAGGCCACTGGTGCACAGGCGTGAGGCTCCCGAAGGCCTGCACCCTTCAGCAGCCGTTTTCCTACCACAGCGACAACAGGAACGTTACTGACTCTGGTGCCTTATTTCGTAGGGACCAGAAGTGCTGCGTGCTCAGGCCTTCTCTGGCTGTCTTCCCTCCTCTCCTGTCTCTGGCTGTGTGCTCTCAGTTCTCTCCTTCCCACACCTTCACATTCACTGCCACATCCATCTGGCTCGTCTCTTCGCCCTCGTCTCCCATCTCCCCTGACGTTTCTCCCTTTGTCGTTTTCTCTCCCTCTCTTTTCCCACCCTCTACACACATCATGTAGTTCGAGCTGAATACGTTTATTATAATCACTGTCTCGTCTGTGGGGGGCGGTGGCCCTGCTGCCTCTCTGAATCCTGGTGCCTTGAAGTTCTCTGTGCATCTGGCCATCCTCCCCGTGGCCCTTGCCAAGACTCGGCATGGGTGTGGCGGGTCTGGGTTGGATGGCCCCCCTCCCCTCTCCTGGCCTGGTCTTCCCAGCCCCAAGCCCTACCCAGGAAGTCCCCAGCCTCACCCACGCCCGAGCCCCTAGGCCTCGCTGGCCACCGCCCTCCCCAGCCCTGCACTCGCACCTTCCCTCTCTCTCCCTACCTAGGGGCACAGAGGCAAGGCCTCCTGTCTATAGCAGCTCCCTCAGTTCACTACTGCCTTAGGAGGCCCCTGCTTGTGCTCAGGGAAGTCCCCTTCACGGACATGTCCCTACGAGGTGGAGTAGGGCTCAGCCCCAACTCTGTTAAGCCTTTCTGGGATCAGGGTCTAGCCCTGTTGGGGACTAGAAGGTGTGTAGACCCTCTTCCTGCTAGGCCCGCGCTGTCCCAGGTATGGGGCCAGGCCCTTCCAGTGGGCATGACTGCACCAACCCCATGCAGAATCGAGTGCTGTAGATTGGCCAGACTCTATACCCTTTGTGCCATCTCTCTTCTGACCAGAGTGATAGGGTTCCAGCCATGGGGAAGCAGCTCAGCCCTCTGTCTCCTGGCTCTAGTGGAGACAGAAGAACCCAGAGCCCAAGCGTCATGGTGGGGGTGCTGTGGGCATCCGATGGTCCCCGTCTCCCACTTCTGGCTCTGCCCCAGCCTGTGTAGCTGTTCTGCATGTGGATGCTGCATGTCTGGTCTGGGGCTTGGATGCTGCACTGCCCCACTGCCTGTCCCTTCTAGTAAAATAAAGATCTGTTATGCCTACACCCCAGACTGTGTCTTCTGTGAGGGGAGGGACTAGGAAGCAAGGATGGACCAAGTTCTCACGCATACACCCATTCGGCCTGAAGGCTACACTTGTGTTCTTACCCATGATAGCCACTGGGGGGCATTAGCACCCTGGCCTTGTCTCCAGTAGCACCCTGGGGCGGCGAGGCCATCGGCCCGGGTGCTGTGGCCAGAGCTGAGCCTTGCGAGACTTGGTTCCATTGCAGGCAGAAGATGGAGGCGGCTGCTGGGTTCACTGCATCTCTCTGTCCGTCCTGAGTCCCGCTCAGTAATAGAGCCCGTTTCTCAGCCTTAAGAGCATGAACTCTGAAGTCAGACTGCTTAGGTTTAAATTTTAGCTCTGTTGGTATTCCCCTGTGTGATCTTGAGCAAGTAACTTCATCTGTCTGGGCTTTCATACTCTTACTGATTTTACAAACTTATCTAATGCTTGCTCTGTGCCAGGCATTGTACTGGATGGTGGAGACCACAGTGAACAATACGGATGCTAGCTTTTAGAGCTTACGTTCGGGTGGAGGTACAAAATAGAAAGTTTGGGGTGGGGGTGAAATTTTAGGGTGTCAAAGGGAGGCCTCACTGAAAAGGTAGCACTGAAGAAAGTAAAGGCATGAGCCATGAATGAAGAGCTTCCTGTCCAAAGACCTTGAGGTAGAAGTGGGTCTGGCAGGATGCTTGGGTGGCTCAGTCGGTTAGTCATCTGCCTTTGGCTCAGGTCATGATCTCAGGGTCCTGGCATTGATCCCCTTAGTGGGGCTCCCCACTCAGCTGGGAGTCTGCTTGTCTTCCTCTCCTTCTGCCCCTCCCCCTGCTCGTGCTTACTTATGCACTCTCTCTCAAATAAATAATCTTTAAAAAAAATATATGAAGAGGGCCATGGAGGGAGCAGGGAGGACAGTTGCTTCTCACCAATACTGCAATAATATAGCCAAAATAGGATGACTACTTAGACCAGTGGGGGTGGTGAGAAGCACTGTAATTCTGGATATATTTCGAACTAGCCGGAGTGGAGGACAATAGATGTGACATAAAAAGAGAAAATATGTCCCCAATATGCCATGCCTATGAATTTGAAGACTCCGTATTGCAAAGATACCAGTTCTCCACAATTCCAACCGAAAGCCCGAGATTTTTTCACTTCTTTTCCCTTTCTTTTTTACACTTAACAATATTTGTTATTTTGTGTATCTTTTTATTTTCACTGAAGTATAATTGACACACAATGTAGCATTTGAGGTACAACATAGTAATTCTACAACTCTGCACACATTAGGCCATGCTCCCAAGTGTGGCTCTCATCTGTTACCACACAACACTATTACAGTACCATTGACTGTATTCCCTGTGCTGTGCCTTTCATCCCCATGACTTAGTCATTCCAGAACCAGAAACCTGTATCTCCTACTCCCCTTCACCCATTTTGCCCATCTCCCCTCTCCCTACTACCTCTCCCTCTCTTTTCCCACCCTCTTTTCCCCTCCAGCAACCACCCAGTTTTTTCTCTGTATTTATAGGTCTGTTTCTGCTTTGTTTTGTTTTTAGATGCCACATGAGTGAAATTAATCCCAAGAGGTTTTTTAAAGATCTTTTTTTAAAAGATTTTATTTATTTATTTCACAGAGAGAAAGAAAGAGAGTACAAGCAGGGGGAGCGGCAGACAGAGGGAGAGGGAGAAGCAGGCTCCCCGCTGAGCAGGAAGCCCTATGTGGGGCTCGATCCCAGGACCTGGGATCATGATCTGAGCCAAAGGCAGACACTTAACCAACTGAACCACCTATGCACCCTTAAAGATCTTTTTTATTTTATTTTTATTTTATTTTATTTTATTTTATTTTTCAAAGTTTATACTTGGTCTTTAATACATTCTTCTGAAGGGATGTTTTGTAATTTTTTTTTTTCCAATTGGCAAATAGTCATCATGACATACTGCTTAGGGATGCTAAGGGGTTGTCCATATGAGATATGATGATGAGCAGAAGACAGGAGTTCATAAAGCAGTAACAAATATATTCCACGTGATGGTTAATTTTAAATGTCAACTTGATGGGGCCGTAGGATGCCCAGACATCTGGTCAAACACTATTCTGCAGGTTTCTATGAGATAGCTTCTGGATAAGATTTACATTTATCTGTAGACTGAGTAAAGCAGATTGCTGTCCATAATGTGAAGGAATGTCATTCAGTCAAGTGAAGACATGAATAGAACACAAATGCTCAGAAAACAGGAGATCCTCCTGCCTGAATGCTTGAGCAAGAACATGGATGTCTTTTCCCCCTTTGGACTTGGATTGATCATTGTATTTCTTGAGTCTCCAGTCTGCTGGTTTGCAGACAGGAATTTAACACCATCAAAACCCAGATATGTTAAAGATCTTTTTTTAAAAAATTAAACTCTACACCTAACATGGGGCTCCACGTCACAACCCCAGATCAAGAGTCACATGCTCTACCAACTGAGCCAGCCAGGTGCCCCAGTCCCAAGAGGTTTTTATTTTTTAGATCTTATTCATTTGAGAGAGAGAGAGCACAAGCAGAGGGGAGAGTCAGAGGGAGAAGCAGACTCCCCCTTGAGCAGGGAGCCTGATGTGGGGCTTAATCCCCAAACCTGAAGATCATGACCTGAGCAGAAGGCAGATGCTTAACCATCTGAGCCACTGAGCCACCCCCCAAAAGATTTTTAATTGACAAACTAATTTTGAAACTTAGAGGGAAATGCCAAAGTACAAAGAATAAGCAAGACAAACTTGAAAAAGAGCAAAGTTGAAGGATTAAAACTATCAGATACCAAGACTTAAAGTTTTAGTCGTTCAGACAGTATGAAATTGGTACATAGAAGACCAGTGCAATAGAACAGAGTCCAAAAATAGACCCACACTTGTTTTATGACAAAAGTAGCAATGCAGAGCTGTGGGGAAAGGACAGTCTTTTCAATAAAAGATACTAGACATTTGGGGCACCTGGGTGTCTCAGTCGTTAAGTGTCTCCCTCTCCCTTTGCTCCTCCCCCTGCTCCTGCTCTCTGGCTCTCTCAAATAAATAAACTCTTTAAAAAATACTAAACACCTGGGGGTGGGGGGGATGTTTCTTGAACTTGAACCTCACATTATACACAGAATCAATTCCAGATGGATTGTAGATCTAAATGTGAAAAGTAAAATAATAAACATGTAGAAAGGGGCTCCTGGGTGGCTCAGTCATTAAGCATCTGCCTTCGGCTCAGGTCATGATCCCAGGGTCCTGGGATGGAGCCCCACATTGGGCTCCCTGCTCAGCTGGAAGCCTGCTTCTCCCTTTCCCACTGCTTGTGTTCCCTCTCTCGCTGGGTCTTCTATCAAATAAATAAATAACATCTTTAAAAAACAAATAAACATATAGAAAATAACAGAATATATCTATGACTTTAGGGTAAGCAAACTTTTTTCTTTTAAGCAAACATTTTTTTAGACCAATACAAAAATCAATAACTTTGGGGCACCTGGGTGGCTCAGTCAGTTAAGCGCCTGCCTTCAGCTCAGGTCATGATCCCAGGGTCCTGGGATCGAGCCCCGCATTGGGCTCTCTGCTTGGCAGGGAGCCTGCTTCCCCTCCTCTCTCTGCCTGTCTCTCTGCCTACTTGTGATCTCTGTCTGTCAAATAAATAAAATCTTTAAAAAAAACAAAAAGTATCTATTTACCTGGGTGCCTGGCTCGCTCAGTTAGTGGAACATGTGAATGCTGATCTTGGGGTCATAAATTCAAGCCCCATGTTGGGAGTTTACCTTAATTTACTTAATTTATTAATATTTAAGGGTTCACCTTAAATAAATAAATAAATAAATACCCAGAAGAAAAAAGAAATGTAATTTTTTAAAAATCTGTTTATCAAAAGACATATTAATCTCCAGGGAATTATACCAGGCTAAAAGAGCCCATTTCTGTCTGGGTGGCTCAGTGGGTTAAAGCCAATGCCTTCAGCTCAGGTCATGATCCTGGGGTCCTGGGATCGAGCCCCCATCGGGCTCTCTGCTCAGTGGGGAGCCTGCTCCCTCCTCTCTCTCTCTCTGCCTCTCTGCCTACTTGTGATCTGTCTGTCAAATAAATAAATTAAAAAAAAAATCTTAAAAAAAAAAAATCCCATATTGGCCTCCTATCTGACCGCATCCTCACGAGAAATGCTAAACCAACCTCTCGAAATCCTGACCCTCAAAACTGAAACAGTGTGAGATAGTAAAAGGACTGTTCATTGAGTTTCTACATTTGGGGATGATTTCTTACACAGCAATAATGGGAAGGGCAGCCTAACCCCATTAGTCTTTAGAAAAATGCAAATTAAAACCAAAATGAAAAGAAAAAAAAAAGATGTCCCTACACACCCAGCAGAATGACCAGAATGGAAAAGAGTGACAATTTCGAGTGCAGGTGAGGATGTGATTCAGTTAGGAATTTCATATATTGCCGGAAGAAATGAAGATTGATGCAAACACTTTGAAAAGCTATTTGAGGGACACCTGGGTGGCTCAGTTGTTAAGTGTCTACCTTCAGTTCAGGTCATGATCCTGGGGTCCTGGGATCAAGCCCCCCATCGGGGTCCCTGCTCAGTGGGAGGACTGCTTCTCCCCCTCCTTCTTCCCCTGCCGGTATTCCCTCTTTTGCTGTCTCTCTCTCTCTCTGTCAAATAAATAAAATCTTTTTTAAAAAGAAAACCTATTTGATGGCATCTACTACCGTTGAACACAAGCATATCTTTTGACACAACCATTCCACTCCCAACAGAAATATACATATATGTCCATATGAGAATATTCTTAGCAGTATTATCAATAATGGCCTCTAAATTCAAACAAACCAGTTGTTTAAAGATGGTGGCTCAGTGGGTTAAGCCTCTGCCTTCGGCTCAGGTCATGATCTCAGGGTCCTGGGATTGAGCCCCACATCGGGCTCTCTGCTCAGCAGGGAGCCTGCTTCCCTCCCTCTCTCTCTGCCTGCCTCTCTGCCTACTTGTG